AATGTAAACAGATATGAAATTGTTATTGATTTCTTTCACTTAGCAGCCCAAAGCTGAAATGCACCAAATCCCCACCTTCTCCTTCATGTCCCCAAAGGGCCAGTCGGTGCTTGCTGCCCAGAATTTACTTTTTAATTTCCAGATAGCGATAAGCCTTTTGACCAGCCTTATCTAACATGCTGTTCAGTTTATTTTTTATTTTCTGTGATAAATCCAGGCCCGAAGACCTGGATTTTAAAATGCATGATATTTTTCGCAGCTGTTTGGTATTTAAGAGGACGGACACACTGTGACTTTACAAAAATGATTACACCATTTTATATTCAAGACAGACACTGTCCAAGTCACACGAGCACGAAACTCCTCACTAAAAGGGTCAAACACTGGAGGAATGCAAATAATATTCACCGTCACTGAGTGCAAAGTACACACTTTATCACACCTGCTTACAGCAGAAGTGTGCCCTAAAAGGAAGTGAGAGTAGAGCTGCTAATTTAAATTGATCGCTGAATTAATGATTTTGGTGGGTAGACCTGTGTAAAAGTTTGGATGAAAGTGGGCATTATCAACACACTGTAATGGTATGATTGTACACAGAATAAACACGGCAGTGAAAGCATAATGAGAATCACTCCGTAGGGACTCTAAACCTGCCAGAAGCTCCAATCTGCTGACTGCAGTGCTTACCTGCTTGGCCAAATGTTGAGTAACAAAACAAGCCTGGAGGGCGAAGGTAGTGATAGAAAGAGGGCTGAGAAGTGAACTGCGGGGGCCCCAAGACAGAGAGGCAGAGGGTTGAAACTAGGGATGCATTCATTTATAAGCCACACATCAGTACTGGCTGATACTTGCCTTGTTGACTGCCATCAGCCTATCAGCAGCTAAGATTAAATTCACAGATGGCAGTGGTGGATGTTTTGCACAGGCTAGAAAGCAGGACTCAAGACTGACAGTGTCCCATCGTTAGACAATAGAAAATGTGTTTGGGACAAACAGAGATCTTTACTGGGACATCATCAAAATGAAAGGACGCTGTTAAAGGAAATGGCCACTTTAGAATGAAAATACAGACAGTACTTACTGGCCCTCATGCCGACAAGAAGTCCAGTGTAGTTTTCTAATCCACAAAACTCATTTGGGGTATCGGAGGATAACAGCTAGCCGGATTTTTCCATACACTTGAAGTGCATGGAACCCACGTCCAAAATCATTTTGAAAATGTAATAAAACTCTGCTAATGCATTTCAAAAACGTTAGAACGGCTCGTCCGTCGTAATCCAAGTGCCCTGAAGCCGCGGCATGCAAAATTGACTTGAAAAGACATAATTTACTCCACTTTCATAGCATAATTTCTCACCATGGTCAGTTAGCCTGCACCTTGCGAGACACAAGAACAAAAACGTCTCTGAACGCAAGTTGCCATGTAAACACAGCATGCCTGCAGGCTAACTGCACGGACGAGCCGTTCTGCCGTTTTTGAAATGCATTAGCAGAGTTTTATTACATTTTCAAAATGATTTTGGACGTGGGTTCCATGCACTTTGAGTATATGGAAAAATCCGGCTAGCTGTTATCCTCCGATACCCCGAACGAGTTTTGTGGATTAAAAAACTACACTGGACTTCTTGTCAGCATGAGGGTCAGTAAGTACTGTCTGTATTTTCATTCTAAAGTGGCCATTTCCTTTAACTCAGCATTGATGCGTCAGAGGAGGCACCCTTGATAATGTGACATTATGAACAACATATCTGTGTTGACTTCGGCAACACTAGAAGTAGTTAAAGTAAGCTGTGAGCAGCCAGGGGCTGGGTTTAAGGCCTGACAGAGGTTGCATTGAGTAACATTACAATGCGTTCAAGCTCTCATTCGTAAAAATGTTTTAGTAGTTGTAGTTTTTCACGGGAAACTTCAATAAATACAGTTGTTTCAAGGTGAAATTTGTGAATGTTTTCACAGCAATAAAAAATAGATACTAGAGTATTATGTGATACTATATATTATATATAGTGAAAAGACTTTTGAAGCAGTTATTTAAAAAAAAGTTTTTCATGCAAAAGGTTAGAGGTTAGAGGTTATTAAAGGTTGTTTCCCTGGCACCAGATGGTGAATTAATGACAACAACTACAACGAAAAGAAAAACTTTGGTATCCACCATTAGCTAACTTATCGGCCTAGAGTTTTACAGTCAGTGCTTTTGTAGTTAAAGCTGGAATGATTTATGAATAAACAGAAGGAAAGTTAAAAAGGCCTGACAGGAATTGTGACTTGTGTTTAAGTGGGCAAAGGTACAGTATATTTAACAGCCATGGTTCCAGAAATAAAAGCCAAATTACATTTAAGCAATATAACACTCAAGGATGTGATTTACCATCAGTATTGGCACATCAGTGATGCGGCTGTACGCATCACTGATGTGCCAATAATGACTGTAAGACACACCCTTGACTGTAATAATGCGATTGAGAGTCACCACAGAATAAAAGATATCATCAAAATACATTCATATTGTGGGGCAAATTATTCTTAAAATGAAACACCTTTTGCTAGGGTTATCTCCGTATCCATGGAAATACTAAGCGGCAACATCTGGGGCTAGAAACTGAAGCCAATGAGTGATGTAGCTACAGTAGCTACGTCCATCATGTCAATGGGAAATACATGGGGTCTGACCAATAACTGGAAAACAATCAGTCATGTCAGTAGACCCCCATGTAATGAAAGTTAGTTTACTACTCCAGTAAATATGTTGACCCTTAGCAACAACCTAGCAACAGAAACTATTCTAGTCTCTGCTTAGTCAGCCAGCCAACTTGAGCTAATGTTTATGCTTTGTAGAGATTTTGGGATTTCCCACACTAAATAAATGCCACACACATAAACACAAAACTGAGCTCAGTCTTGTTGTACCTATGATATCTGCTAAATTAATCTTCCATGGAAAGATTTAACTACTACAGCAGCAATCTTCACATGTAGGCTATTTTTAAGATATCCCTACAATCACCAGCACAGCTGATGTGATCCAAACATTTATAATTGGTGACCCACCAAAATGTTGTACAGACTAAAAGTAAACATTTATTGAAAAAAGACGGATGTAATCATTTCCATTTACCATGTTTTCATCCAAATAAATATTAAGCTTCAATCTATATTTGTCAGTGTTATGTCTTTCAAAAGCAACATTTTCACCAAGGTCACAAAACTGTTTTGCTCTCCAGCTTGCTGCACACAAAGGAGGCGCACATCTGCATTAACGGGCTGATCTAACAGCACTCTGACCAGAGATGATAATTATAAAAGACAGTTGATTTAAATCAACAAAACAATCAATTTTGTATTAATATTGTAGCCTGCTGGTTTTTGGTCCAGCTCTGGAAGTTATTTATAGTCATGAGGTCATGCTGATTTCAGCACATTTTGAATGTCAGTTTGACCAGTTAGAATGCCAGGTCGGATGTACTTATATAACCAGTGTTAGCTTCTCTTCATCAGGGAAGTCAATAAAGGGTTCAATAAGCAACAATAGTGATGTTTCCATTCCGTTAATTAAAAAGCTGCACATTGATAACTCTGATGCATTTGTTTCAGCATATACAGATCCACGCTTTGATATTAATAACAAAGATGTTTTTTATTCTTCATAAGTTGAAAGAAACCTTCGACTGACTGGCCTCACGTTGATTACCTTGTTTTTTAACACTGAGTATAAATGTCAGTCAGGTGTCTGTCATTGTCCTGAAGATGGCTGTGTGCAGAAATGTCGTGCATCAGCGTTGTGAGTGTGCAGCTTTCCATCGTCTTTTTCTATTTCACTGATGCACACAGGTTGAAGCAATTTTTGAAAACAGTGGCAATATAAAATGCAAATCAGTGTTTCCATCGACTGCTGTTATGCAAATATACTTAGGAGAGTGCAACAAGACAACACCAGTAGTTCTTCTATTACTGGTAAATCCATGCCATTACTTTGTTGCCTCCCGGGAAGACAATCATGTTCACTGAATGAATGGATCAGCCTCCTGCGTTCACTCTGTCCTCCTTCTCCTTGCTCTCATCTTTGTTGTGTTATTCTCAGGCGCCCTTTTTATTCTTTACTTTTTGGCCTTTTTGCTGGAGTGGTCATCTTCTGGTATATGTTGTTTCATTCAAATTCCATCCATTTTCATTCATTTTATGTGCAAATTTAAACTGTGCATAAAATCGGATAAAGCATTTATTCAAAGTGGATCCCTTATTGTAGCTTTTGTGGTGTTTGAGTGCACTCTATGACTGTTGAACCTGATAATGTATAAAAACTAAGAATGTAACAAAGATATTTTCCAATGTGAGATTACTGTGAAATGATCATTCTACACGGTGATGTTCATTTCTTGTCGAAATTACACGGAATTTGCTTGGCTATTAAGATAACACAAGTCAACTGGACTCCCTCAGTAGGCAAATATCATTTCTAAAGATAACCCAGCTCTCTGCATTCTTCCTGCTGACTTTTTTTTGTTTTCATGCCAAGTCATGTTGATTTATTTCAAAATGGAAAGGTCATGAACCAAATCACATTATCATCCTATCAGTCTTTTTACACTAACACGAGCCATAAAATTGCAAATGAGAATAAATGTCTCTTTGAAGTTGGCATTTCTCAAGTCATTAACCCCTCAAAAAAAAAACATGTCCAAGCTCACACAGGTGAGGACCCACACACATGCAGGCATGTAATACAAGAGAAGCTGTTTCAAACTTTTTTTTTTTGTGAAAGTTTGAGGAGAAGACACAGCATAAACATGTGTAAAACAAGACAGGAAAAGACAACAAACATTGGGACAGTGATAAAAGACAAAGGAGGTAGCTAAGGACACAATCACAATCTGCGTTCATACATTTGAAGAATGCTGCCTTGTCTGAAACCAGTTTACATGATATCCTCAGTTGATGTTTAATTAAAGTCCAGTTTCTATTCCCTCTTGTCCTTTTTCCCATCTGTCCTCTCTCCCTGTCAGAATGACTACCGTAAGCTGTCCATGCAGTGTAAGGATTTTGTGGTGGGTGTGTTGGACCTTTGTCGGAACACAGAGGAAGTGGAGGCCATACTGAACGGCGACGTGGATCAGTGCTCTCCAAGCCCCTACAACCGACCCTGCCTCAGCCGTGTCATACTGGCCATCAAGTACGAAGTCAAGAAGGTGAGGAGACCAAAAAAAATAACGGATAAATCAACCGTAAAGGATGAGTGGTAGTTTCAGTTATAGTTCACATTTTGTTCACAACATGCAACACTTATAATCTTGTATTCTTCTAGGATCATCACCAATACACTGTACATACCAGTAATGAAAGCAGGAGCACAAAGGACTGAGAAAAGCGGCAGTGGTGGTTGTTTAATCAAACATCTTAAAGTGGCCTGTTAACATGTATAATACCAAAGCAGGAAGTGGTGTGATTATTGTAGTGCAGCAAATCATTAGGATGAGGAGGCCAGGGTGATCTTTTCTATACTTAAACATACTCTAAATGGGTACTCCAGCTATTTTGTAATGCATTTTCATAAAGTTGGTGGACTTGTAAGACATAAAATCAAAGACGAATTAGAGTCTCTAACAAAGGGCCAGGTCCAAAAACACTGAAGCCTACATTTTTTCCATAATGCAACTTGGTAACGTCTGGGTTTGGGAAACTTGGTACTAAATTAGAGCAGAATATCAAATTCCCATAAAAAAAAAGATGTAAGTAGAATTTCGGTTATGCTTATTGTTTCTTGAGGTAAGGTAAAGTAAACTTTAATGTCCTCGAGGAGGAATTTGAGATACAGACAGTAGTCATGAGTACAACACAATACAAACACACAGAATCCAGTATCAAACGCTGTCAGAGGTAATGATGGACATTAATGGTTACTGCCGGTTAAGAGAAGTGATAGCAGACGGGACAAAGGATGATCTGTAACGCTTAGTGCTACATCTAGGAAGGCAAAACCTCCGCCCTGATGGAAGCATCTGAAACTCAACAAGGAGGGGATGTTGAGAGTCTGAGAAATCGACCAAGCTTTAGAGGTGACACTCTCTCTTTATACAGATGTTGTAGATTTCGATTTGATATGAGGACTTGTTAGAAGAACTACATATTCACCCTAGAGCCAAGAGTCCTTGAGCAAGATACTCAATCCATACCAGCTACTATAGCTGATGTCCCTGTGAAAGAAGAGCAACATAAAAAAAAACATAGGTGAATGAATAAGACATAACATCAGAAAATTCTTATCCACATCCTGTTGTGTTTAGGATTATTTTGTGTGTTTTATTGCAGGCAGTGATTTACATGTAACGTGTGCATTCGTGTGTGTGAGCAAGCTGGTGTCTATGAGCCATTTTGTGCACATGCACATACTGTATGTTTGCGTGTTATCGTGCGTGTGGCCTCAGAGGGCCCCATGTAAACATCAAACTGGCCTCTATTTCAGAGTTAAACCCTGCTGAGCAGAGGTGTTCTCCTAAATGTCAAACCACATGCCTTTTCCCCATTTCTCACTACAATACTTTCTCTCTCTCTCTCTCTCTCTCTCTCTCTCTCTCTCTCTCTCTCTCTCTCTCACACACACACACACACACACACACATGCCTCAGATAAATCCCAAGAGTGTGTGTGTGTGTGAGTGTGTGTGTGCACAAGAGTGTGACCAATATTCAGGGAGCTAATTACACAGGAAGCACGGAGAGAGGGAGGGATAGGTTGCCATGGCAACCAGGTGAAACATGACTGTGGTGTAGCGCATGTGGCCGGACGCAGACAGGGTTTGTGTCATGGATCATTGGGTTGATAGACCGGTCACCGGACACCAGTGGGAAACTATGTTAAGTACGATTGGGTGTGCAGGGGGTGTGTGGTTTCCCCCTGTGAATGTAGAAACGATTGAATGCGCACATACACGCGGTACATGTGTGCGTTTCGATCGGCGGATGAGAGCAGAGGATGTCAATCGTCAGCTCTGGTAAATGCTCCTCGACGGTGATGGCTGAGGCTGATTGGTGAAGGGGTGGAAAGGATCAATGGGTGGAGAAGACAAAGGGGGAGAGCAGGTTTGATCGGATGTAACCTGTTGCTCAGATGTGTTACCAAATGTTACCAAAAAACAACACACAAACACAGAGTTTGATTGTTACACTGGTTGACCTCCTACTGAGTATCGATTGCCCTGTCGTCCACATCCTTCCTCCAGCTGGAACAAAAACATCCATCCTCTCCTTCCTCGACAGACCAGTAGTTCTCAATCATCACTTCCTTTCTTGAAGTCACTAACAGATGCTTAAATGCCAGACCAAGCCTCATCTAATAAAGCAAACATGCACCAGTAATGAGTGTAGCTGCTGCCTGCTTCCTTTTTTCATACTGTATATCAAAGGAAAAACTCCCCCCCTAAATGGCCATATGTTCATTAATGTTTATTAGCTGCCGGCCTACCACTGCCTCAATCATTTAGTTTGTTTGTGTTATTATGTGACTTTGGTGTTAGGAAGGGTTATTTCATATTCACCAAAGTCACATAATAACACAAACAAGCTACAAATGGAGGCAGCAGCTCCTGTGTTCTATAAGGTAAAATTACTGGTTTTGTCAATGGAGTCTGGCTTTGAATAAAAGCACATTTAAGTTTTACTTTGAGTTCAGTTTCCTGTCAGAGAGGGCTGTCTGTTGGGAACGTGCTAAGCATTAAATGTTAAATAAGACCTGGATTATACCTCACGAGTTGTGTGATAATTTTAAACAGATGTTTTTGATAGAGTTATTAAATATGGTCACCTGTGAGTTCAGTTCATTAAGTTTTCCTCACAAGGTCTGCATAAAACAGTATGCGTTACTGATAAACAAATGGGGTCATTTGGGGGATGAAATATTCCTTTAAATTCATTTCATTTTACATCTCATATTTTAAATAAAGCCGAGTGGCAGCTGTGAATATAAAGTTAAATAGAAAAGCAGCCTACACACTCAGCTATTGGGACCAACTTGACCACCAGAAGCCCTCCTCATGAATACAGTATGTTTTGTTGTCTGTTATTAATTTTATATTCATTGCACTGTTGTAATTCAAAAGTAAATGAAAGTGCCAGGTGTAGCATTGGTGCTTTTTATGATAGAGATAGTGATATGTCTTATAAGAAGCAGAAAATAAACTCAGCCTGCTGCTTTTGGCATTAAAATCCAAACAGTATGTGGATGTTGGACGTAATGGATGGACATATTGTTCAAAGAGATACAGGCTGGACCATAAAAACATCAACATTTAGAATCATAGAGGACATCTCCTTCACCATATGCTACCTATTTTTAAAACACTGTAAAACACGATAAGCCTATGAGCTGTCTCTAGAAAAAAAAATGATTTTCAAATTTGAACAAACAAAAAATGTCCCACAGCCCCATGATCTAGATAGGACCAATTTGAAACAATCACTGGTGTAATTTTCTTGTCCCTGGAGTGTTGTGTCCTGAGAATGACGCAGTGGTGATGGAGTATTTGGACTGTTAATAGTACTTCAATTAAAGTACACAACAATGTATATTGTCGGACCTCTCTTAATCAATATTCATTGAAATACAGAGGATCATCTCGTTAGAACAACCTTCTTCCATCTCTGTAATCATCATCTACATTATCATACTTCAAATCAGATCTAAAAAGGACTCCAATTTGCAAAGACTCTTAATACTTAGTTGATTCATTTCTATTTTTTTTTTATTTTTAAATCTTACATTCACAAATTCTACATAAAATTCCAAATGCATTAGCAGCAAAACGAACTCAAGTGTAAAACATAAAAGTGCCAAGACAGAAGGACCCCTTTCAGAGTGTCATATATACTGTACATTATTGGATCATTATTATTGATGGATGAACCTGTAATTAAATTCATTCATTCATTCATTCATCTTCTAACCGCTTCATCCTCTTGAGGGTCGCAGGGGGGCTGGAGCCTATCCCAGCTGACATCGGGCGAGAGGCAGGGTACACCCTGGACAGGTCGCCAGACTATTGCATGGCTGACACATAGAGACAAACAACCATTCACGCTCACATTCACACCTATGGACAATTTAGAGTTATCAATTAACCTAATCCCCAATCTGCATGTCTTTGGACTGTGGGGGGAAGCCGGAGTGCCCGGAGAGAACCCACGCTGACACGGGGAGAACATGCAAACTCCGCAAAGAAGGGCTCCCACGCCCAGGATCGAACCAGCAACCGTCTTGCTGTGCTAACCACCACACCACTGTGCCGCCCTGGTAATTAAATGTTTGAGTGAAAACATTCAGTAAAAAGGTTTAAAGATAGTTTGCCAGAACATATTTTTATTCTCTCTCTCTCTCTCTCTTTCTATATATATATATATATATATATATATACAGTACAGGCCAAAAGTTTGGACACACCTTCTCATTCAATGCGTTTTCTTTATTTTCATGACTATTTACATTGTAGATTCTNTTTACATTGAACCCTAGGATGTCTCTGCAGTCAGTCTGTCAAATAAGCCACCTTCTTCCTCTTTGTGACTACTGGGCCATTTCATGTAGCTGTCAGTGTTGTTCTGGCACCATGTTTGCTCAGTGTGCTGCTGCTGTACAGACTTAAGATCCCCCAAGCGATCTGTTAAACAATCAAAAACAAAATCCAAATGTTTTGTGGATATGAGAAAAGCAAATTAGCATTGCCTTTCTGAAAATCTTATTGATGGTTGTTCACACCCGTCCCCTCTTCATCTTTCCTCTTTCTTACATTCTCCATTGATTTAAATTTCTTGTCCCCATCTCTCTTTCCAGTTCGTTGCTCACCCCAACTGTCAACAGCAGCTGCTGACTATCTGGTACGAGAACCTGCCTGGTCTGAGGCAGCAGTCTATCGGGGTGAAGTGCTGGACGGTGCTGGGGGTCACCATCGGTCTGCCCTTCCTGGCTATCTCCTACTGGATAATGCCATGTAGCAAGGTAGGAACACACATGGTGCACACACACACACGCACACACACACACACACACACAAGAAAAAGACACCAACTCCTCCCTGTCCCCTGACCTCCAGCTTCTTGCCCTACTGTCACCACTGATCTAAAACAGAGGTCATCACCAACACACACAACTAAACACACGTTAAATTTTAGTTATGGTAAAATAGGTATGGACAGATTTTTTTCTTTGTGCAGTGCTCCCTTTCATTCACAACTTTTAAACTAATACATGACACAAATACTAACTACCTGGCCCGTGGTGCTGCATGTCCACATTGAATCCTCTGGCTGGTTAGTACTAGAGACAACACTGAGATTTATCTCATTTCGGTTCAGTCACTAAATCGCAGTCATTTCTAAATACGACTACACTTTTTTCTAATAACCCTATCTAATAACAGCAGCAGTGTTGCAGTTGATTGGTGTCCCCACTTTGTTTCCCAGAATGCCTTTTGTCAACAACTAGAGAAGAGCCATGCTGCAAACTGTTTTGTTTGTGCATACAAAAGGCGATTAAGTGAGATTGTTCCCCCATGAACCATATTGTTAACCCTGAAAAGCATTGGTGTATTTTCAAACATTCTTACATACCCGACAACGCAGCACTTATAACACAGAGTAAGCCACATATTAAAGTCATATTGCTTGTATTATTAACAATAATAAACAGGTATGTTGTTTTGTTATTGTGCCAACTGAAAGGAATATTCTTATTTTATGCTGCAGCGACTATTAACACTTCATATTACAGTGTATACCTGTGGCAACAGTACTAAATAACTATAGCCTGCGAGTGGACCAAGGGTGCTTTAAGACTCATTACACCAAAGAAAACAAGATTGTTTGATGGATGAAAAATCAATGTCTTTGTTCTTTGATTCTCCTTGTTGACTAAATTTATCCTCTGTGCACAAGCCATTTAAGGATATTTCTGCTGAGCTTGTCAAGCTGAGCTCTACATTTACATTATCTCTATAAACAGAGAAATGCATATGTATGTAGAATCTGAGGGAAACAGACTACAAACGGACTACAAACAGGAACCAGAACACCTCTGATACCAAAATCTCGTCCTGAGTAGTTTTGAGCAATTACGTTTTAACAGTCCTTGTGGAGACGCAGAAATGCACCATCCAAAATGCAGTCTTGGAACCCATTGCCTATAGTCTGAAGAGGTAATTTAACGTAATTTCTACACTGGATCAGCCCAAAATATTGGTCCTCTCCCCCGAAGGCTTTATCATTGTCAGACCAAAAGCTGATTGATTCCAAGATTGACATATACATGTCAAGGTTCAACTGCACTTCATCATCCTCAGCTGTACTTGAGTTGAATGGCTTTACAGCATACAACATGCTTCTGTCCTTTGGACCCTCACAGAGGATAAGGAAAAACTCCCCAAAAACAACCCTTTAATGAAAAGGAAAGGTGAATTGTCCAGATTTAGATTTACAATATGGTATTTTTCGATTGCCATTCACACTGCTCCTAGTTACTCTACTCACAGTTGCATATTCCTGGTTTGCATAAATGTACAATGCCAACATATATAACATATTCTGGTGATTGGCTTGTTACAATAGTTAAAACTCAAATGGTTTATGATGGAAAGATATCACCTCCACAGACAGTTGTCCAGACTGGCTGCTGCATACTGTATTACTCTCCCTTACTATGAATCTGTGTGCAGTTTCTGCCAAAATCTGTTTCTGTTTCTCACACTTCCTCTTGGACAAACCGTTTGGGCTCACTGAAGTCATAAAGATTAATTCTCAGTGGACCATGAGTATGTGGCCACTGGCCACTGGCCAAACATAATGGCAGTCCATTGACTTGTTGTCAAGATATTTAACTCTGGACTAAAGTCAATCAGACAAAATCACTGGCACACACTGAAAACATAACTGATGGTTTAAAGAGCACTGTGCAATCACCATTTGATTATAGGGCCCTGAGGCAATCTATCACATTTCGTTAATACTCCATCAAGCAAATTATAATCTGTAAAGTGACAAAATATGACAAAGGCCACACACACACACACACACACACACACACACACGGAAATAGACAGTACCTGAGTGAGTGGTTATGCAAATCTGTTCATTAACCTGGATAATCCTTTACTTCATCATCGAGTGGTGTGTGTGAGTGACTGTGTGAGTGTGTGTGTGCGCTAAGGTGGATTCAAAAACAATGTTGAGGACCTGTGAGTGGTTCCTGTTAGGTGTGACTGATGAATTAGTCATTTTGTAGACTCAGAGAGGGAGAGTGCAGCTGATGTCAAGTGAGAGAGGTGATGGAGAGCAGTAACGCTGAGAGAGTCTCCACCAGCGAGACGTGGATTTAATCATGAGACACTAGCTGCTTCTGATCACTGTTTCTCAAAAACACCTGTGCATGTTAATGTGAGTGCACGCACGTCTAATATTTGATTATAAATCAAAAAACGAAACGATGAGCCTGTGTGTCACAGTCTGCCATTTTCTGACGCAGCTGAGAGAGCAGGAAAAAGGTAGCAGCATAGTTAATGACAAATTAATGAAGGATGCAAAGCACCTTGTAACTGTGTACAATTAATATCATGTATTAATTATTAAAACATTCTAAAAGTACAGTTAAATAAAGAAAATAAACCTTTGGGATGTTAAAAGCAGAACTGAGGAGAGTCCATCCATCCATCCATCCTCAACCACTTATCCGAAGCCGGGTTGTGGGGGCAGCAGGTAGAGCAAAGCATGGAGACGCTTTCCAGATCCTCCTGGGGGATCCCGAGGCATTCCCAGGCCAGACGAGATATGTAGTCCCTTTAGCGTGCTCTGGGTCTTCCCCTGGGCCTCCTACCAGTGGGACGTGCCCGGAAGACTTCCAACATGAGGCGCCCAGGAGGCATCCTGATCAGATGCCCGAACCATCTCAACTGACCCCTTTCAGCTCTACCCTGAGCTGCCTCCGGATGTCTGTGCTCTTCACCCTATCTCTAAGGCTGAGCCCAGCCATTCTATGGAGGAAACTTATTTCCGGCACTTGTATCCGCAACCTCATTCTTTTTGTCATTACTCATAGCTCATGACCATAGCTGAGGGATGGGACGTAGATGGACCAGTACATTGAAAGCTTTGCCTTCTGGCTCAGCTTTCTGTTCACCATGATGGTCCGGCACAGCGCCCGCATCACTGCAGGCTCTGTGCCAAACCAACAATCCATCTCACGCTCCATTCTACCCTCACTCGTGCACAAGACCTCGAGATACTTGAACTCCTTTGCTTGGGGCGGTAACCCACTCCCAACCTGGAGGGGGCAATCCATCATTTTCCGTCAGAGAACAGTGGCGGCAGACTTGGAGGTGCTGACTTTCATCCCAACGGCTTCACACTCAGCTGCAAACTGCTCCAGTGCATGCTGGAGGTCATGGTGTGATGAAGGCAACATAACCACATCATCTGCAAAAAGCAGAGATGCAATTCTGTGGTCACCAAACCGGACCGCTTCCTCCCCGCGGCTGTGCCTTGAGATCCTGCAAGAATATCACAAACAGGATCACAAACGAAGTGTGATAATAAAACAAATTAAACTGAGAAACAAAATGGATGTTTATGCACACCTATTAATGTGATGGCAAGATATAGGCTATTGATGGATTTGATAGTAAAATAAAGAGAGAATACCACAGGGGAAGCTTTGATGTGTTTTGGTTGATTGTCAATCATGTGTTCACCTACACCTGGGGCTAATCATGTCATTTTGCTCTGCTCATATCAACAATTGCTTGTCTCTCACAGCTCATAATGTTCTCAGTTTTTATTGCACAACAACACACCATTATCAGAACCTCAAACCATATTACATTTCATATCAGTGGGGGGAGATGAAGAGGATATTAATATTTTTGCTGCTCAAAAATAAGTAATAAATCATCGAAGGCAGACACGGAACACACGGATATAATTGCTTTAGAAATCTCCCTTAAGAGAAACATACGAGATATGGTTTGGAGGTGATGGGAAACAGATGTGTGTGTTTTGATGTTGGATGTTTCTCATTGATTGGAAAAGGTGAAAAAAATGGTGTAAACATGAAGAGAGAGATGGGACACGTATTGAAAGAAGCACAGCAACCACTTTTCAGTCCTCCCTGAGTGACAGAAAAGAGATGGAACATGTCTAAAATAAGATAAAAAAAAAAAACAAGTGACTGATAAAAAATTGCCTGCAGACGCCCAGAGCAAGCTTCATGCTTTTGTTAAAGAAGTCTGTCTCAATATTTGATTACATTTATGCAGCGCAGTGTACAGCTTCACTGGAGGGGTCAACTTGTAGCATTTTATTATTGATGAACTAATGCTGAGAAGACTTTTATTCCATAGCACAGATTTAGAGTGAGACATTGCAGATATTATATGTGTGAGGCAAGAATATATAACTAACAGAGGTGGAGGACTAGAGTCACATGCTTTACTTGAGTTGCAAATTTAAGGACTTTAGACTTGGTGGACTAACACTGACAAAAGACTCGACATGACTTTGACTTGGTATTTATGACCTGAGACTTGACTTAGACTTGAGAAAAAGGACTTGACTTTTTTTTTTTCAGTTAAATTACCCCCCACTCAAAAACCCTAAATACAAATCCAAATACATTCTGTAACTCACAAAACAGGAATTGTGTCATCCTAATTCTGAGACACACCAGCTCTTTATTTATGGTAATTACAGCAGCCATCACAATCAATTCGACAATGATACACTGACATTTATAAATGCCATGTGTTGCTCCCACACTCCCACATTAGAGAATCATTCTACTATAATTACTGTCCTGCAGCCTGTCATCCTTTTAATGTGCACTAAATAGGAAAAAAGGGAAGAAAATAAGAAAAGACAGAAAAAAAGAAGCAAGGAAATAATAAAAAAAAAACATCAGGAAAGACAGAAACACACAGGAAACAGGTGCACAAGGAAAGGAGAGGAGAAAAGGAAATATGGAGAGAAAGAAAGAGAGAATTGGAATTTTTAACACAACCTTTATTAGCTATCACAAGAAAAAAGATACACAAACACCAGTTATCAACACATCTTCACATCACTTCACAACACATCACAAAACCAGCAAGAAAGAGAAAGAAAGAGAGAAAGAGAAGGAAGAGAGAAAGCAAAAGAAAGAAAGAAAACAAAAAAGTAAATGACAGTATGACAGGAAGTATAGAGAGAAGAAAGAAAGAAAGAAAGAAAGAAAGAAAGAAAACAAAAAGGAATGACAGAAGGACATGAAGTATAGAGAAGGAAAAGAAAGAGAAAAGAAAGAAAGAAAACACACAAAGGGGAAGACAGGTGGACAGGAAGTTTTGTATAGGGAGAAGAAAGAAAGAAAGAAAGAAAGAAAGAAAGAAAGAAAGAAAGAAAGAAACACAAAAAAGGAAATGACAGAAGGACAGGAAGTATGAAAAGAAAAAAGAAACAAAAAACAGGAAAGGAAGAAGGAAGGAAATAATGAAATAACAGAAGGAAAGAAAGAAACTAAGACACACAGGAAACAGGGGCACAAGGAAAGGAGAGAAGGAGAGGAAAGAATGAAAGAAGCAAGGAAAGAATGAAAGACATAAAGAAGGAGGGAATGGAAGAAAGAGAAGTAAGGAAACAGAAAGAGAAAGACAGAAAACACGAAAAAGGAAATGACAGAAGGACAGGAGGTATAGGGAGAAGAACAAAAGGAAGACAGAAATCCTAAAACAATAGATAGAAAGAAGGAAATCAAAGACGGAAACAAGGAAACAAAAGAAGGCAACAAGGGAACAAAAGACAGCTAAAAGAGGAAAGGAAATTAAGAAAGAGAGAAAGGAAGTATAGTAAGAAAAACAGCAAACAAAGCAAAAGACAGGAGTAAATGAGGGAAAGAAAGAAACAAGGAAATGAGGAAAGCAAACAAGGACACAAACATGGAAACAAGAAAGAAAACAAGGAAAGAAAGAAAGAAAGAAAGAAGGAAAGAAAGAAAGACCAAAATGACAGATGGACAGGACGGACCCCAGTGTTGTGGTTTTCTGATTATCTTATTGTGGATTTCCTGATCTGGATCTTGATCCTTGTCTCGGTCTTCCTTTGTTCCTGTGTATCTGTGTGAGTCACAGAGAGAATGGCAACAAAAACACACACACTTGAACATGTATGAAAATGTACATACAGTATATCTATAGTATTACAGAGGGTCTGTGCTCATGTATGGATGATAAATTATTCAGTATGGATGCCTGTCAGTACACAATCAAAGTCAAGCCTGCTTCTCCCAGGTGAAAATATGTTAGGGAATAATAAAGGACACAGTAGCTCCATTCTGGCCTTTTGAGATTCACATTTCTCTTTTATGTAGTCTGCATGCGCATGCTGCCAGTGGCCACCATTTCTTTGGAGGGGAGAGGATCAGCTCTTGTCACCATCACGCTCATAAAAAAGCAACCCATGGGGTTTGCAGTCCTCACACAGCAGTAGGCCTGACATAGGATGACCATCTCATTTAAGCTGAGGGGTGAAATGGATCAGCCTTATCACCACAGAGGCAGAGCCATCCCAGGGGCAGGAGGAGGTTGTGCAGGGTTAAGATTCACCAGGCAACCTCTTCCCACAGGGTTTAGTAGTGTGTGTGTGGCATGGGGACAGCTATTGAATCTGATGTGTCACTGTGCACGCAGAGCGAGGAGAAAGCCTGTGGGTAGTTAATATTGAACACAGCAGGTTTAGAGAGTGGTGAATGTTGGCATGTCAAATAAGTGTGTGTGTGTGTGTGTGTGTGTGTGTGTGTGTGTGTGTGTGTGTGCCTGGATGTAATTTTGTTTATCTTGGCGTATTTTGTGCAATTATAAAAAATGTCCCTCTGTGTGGTGGCATGTTTAACGCTTGCATTACGATCTCCTCATATGGTGCATTTCCACTAACTGTGCCGATTGTTGGCATCTATTTACTTTGGCATTGTGTGGCACATTCGTGAATTACAACAGCTGCTGTTTTCCTGCTAAGATGATTGTTTAGTGATGCTGTTCTGATTTTGATCTCCAAGGGCCAAAAACTGTGGAACTCTGAAAAAGGCATGAGCACTAATTTATCTCAGTAAATAAAAACTGATGTTATGTTTGGCTGCGATTTTACTCTTTTGTATAATCACTTTTTTAAGTGTTCCAAGAAAACATAGCCGAAACATGTATCAACAGCCTGATTCCCTGAAACAAAGACAAATTTACAAGTTGTACTCGCAAACACAAATGAACACAAACCATACAAATAAATGGGTCCCTGCACATTCCTGCCAATGGTTTTACATTATTCCACTGAGCTACAGGGGGTTGTAAAGCGCCAAGAAACACAGCAAGAAGCAAACAATGGCAGGGAAGAAGAGGACTGCTAGCCAGGACAACATGGTGGTAAACAATGCAGGATTCCAAATGTTTGAAAAACATCATCAGCTTTGCAAATTTTTCATGAGAAGAAAAAGCATTCAGCACATTTGTAAAGCTTAATAAGTGACACAATGTCGTTTGATTTTTGGGGGCGGGGGGTTGGTGGAGACCAAAGCAGAGCTAGAAGGTGAGAGAATACCGTACACAGTTCAGATGCACGTTGGAATGCAAATGTTGCTCTGTTTCTATGAAACTGTTCACTAACATATTCATGTAAACTTTTTAAGGTGATAATGTCACTACTGTGTTTACAGCTTGTTGTGCTGCCCCTTAATGTGCAAAATCCACAAAGGCATTTCTCAACAAATATTATTTCTCCCTCCCTTAGGGCTGCCCCCAACTAAGAATTTTCCTAGTCGACCAATAGTCATCATTTAGGGCCAATAGTCGACTAGTCGCTCACATGTTTATGATATTAATTTAATTATTCAATGTTATATTTTGGGCGGGGCAACACAACAGTTTGAGTTGAAGGTGTGAGAATGAATAGTATCAGTAACATTGTTAACACTGTGCTACATTACAGAAATACCACACTGTACTAATGAACCTTCATTAATATGGGCCTATATTTTATCTACAAGTGCACGTCACACACTGAGCGAGACGCCTGTTAATGACGCTGTCGGCAAAGAAGTAATGATTGTGCTAAGTGGCTAATTGGCATGTAGCTACTTCCATGTTTCAGATGATACGTCATGTTTGTAGTCGACCAATGAAGATGAGTTTACATATCACCTTGGGTTCGTCCTTCACCTTCTCAAAATGATCCCACACTTTGGATTTCCTGCCCGACATGTTATTAACTAGCCTGTGTTATAACTGCTGGTACCAGGCCTGTAAATTAGGGTCCGTACACATACTGTGTCTTTGACTGCCTGGAAAATGCGAGGTCGGGCTCTGCTACTCTTGTGCCTTTTTTATGCCAGCTTTCAAGAGTGCAGCGGAGAGTTGCGTCTGAGGTTGCTAAGCAGCCTTAACAAGCATCGTATAAAATCGCCTGTTTACCTGAAACCCTGAGAGCAGAGCTGATCTTCTTCCAGGTACTGTTTATAAGTGTGTAGGCATATGGTCCGTGGGACAGATGTAAAGCTCTGGGTAGCCCTGCACTAACATGATCAACTTTTCCGTATTTATCAGACTGAATATTTACAGAAGAAGAGAAAGATATGTCAGATGTGATTGGTTTGTAACATGACTCCTGTTTGACTGCTGAGTGTGGCCTCTTCCTGTGTCTGTCCTTTCAAATTAAATTCCCACATGGTCCAATCATATAGGTTTTGATTCACTTTGACAAGGTGCAGCTCCTAATAGAGTTTCACTTTTCCTTTGCGACTAAGCGACCAATGAAATCTTGCAGACTAATGACCTTCCTGGTCGACTAACATTTGGTCGACTATTAAGGGGCAGCCCTACTCTCCTTAAAGGAAATCTGTCCTTAAAGGTGTACAATGCAGAAATTGTCTGTTACTGTTTGTAAACACAACATTCAAACTTGGCCCCACCTCCCTTCACTGCTTGTTAGTACACGGTAAGTAACTGTATTATTTTAGGAATGTTACATTTGTTGTAATAGAAAAGCTGATGCTATAGTAAACTAACTAAGCTATCAGCTGGCACTTACCTATCCAGCAGAAAACAGACCAACTTTGCCTTGTTCGTTATCGCCATCCACTCCTTCATTGCTCTCCGTGAAAGCCAGCCCCACATTAATTTTCCTTTTGGAACAAACTTTGTCTGCTCGGTGTTTCACCTTGCTATATTTGCTTTTTTTCAGCACTGTGTCCATGTTTTTCATAGCTTCCTCTTGGAGGCATGCTGCTACTATCCAGAGCCAGATGTATAGACAATACATATGCACAAAAACCTTTTCTCACACACAAATTGGCATTTATAAAGGAAGAATGTGAGGTGAGAATGTTTGCACTTCACCATTCTTCAGACCAGGTGTGCACGCAGTTTTAGCTGAGATAGCTGAATCTACACAGAGTACAGAGACTCTGCAGATAAATACACCACCGCACACTTCTAATGGGTCTGATGATTGAGTGGTTGCATTTGTGTGAGTCTGTACATTGTTTTTTAGGAAAATCCTGCATAGTTTACCTTTAACCTTCATTTAACAGTTGATTCTTGGTTAATATTTGGGAACAACAAATTCACAATGGAACATTTATCCTATTATGTTAATCTTCTCACATCCAGCTCGGTCAGATCCTGCGAAGCCCCTTCATGAAGTTCGTGGCTCACGCTGTCTCCTTCACCATCTTCTTGGGTCTGCTGGTCGTCAATGCCTCTGACCGCTTTGAGGGTGTCAAGAACCTGCCCAACGAGACCATCACAGACCACCCGCGACAAGTGTTCAGGGTCAAGACCACCCAGTTCTCCTGGACTGAGATGTTGATCATGAAGTGGGTGTTGGGTGAGTCACCTTCTCACACACACACGGTGCGCACACACACCCTGCCAGTGTTTGAAATTCTGCTCAGTTGCAGCCAATTAAAATGCAAATAGATGTAAGGTAGTCACTGTTGAGGCAGATTCCCCGTCATGATAAGAGATAACCTTGATACAGCATATAAGAGAGTCGAGGCAAAATGTTACACGGTGGATTTTCTTTATGAAGTGTATTTTTTAATCAGTATTGATGTACTTTGTCCGCACGCAGTCAAAAGAGGTTCATGGCCATGTTTCTACCTACGTTTTGAAAGTTTTTGATGATAATCAAAAGTACTGAAATCAGTAAAGTTCCTGCAAAGAGCCTGTGAACCTTTTTGCCCAATGTTGATATGAGACAGAGATAAAGATTAATACAGCGCCATGCCAACCAACTGGATGAAAGCCAAGGCAATACAAAAATTCATTCTCTTTTATCTTTTAAAGATCAAATAGAAGGTTCCTGGTTGGATGGAGAACAGGCCAAACCAGCTGACGCAGTAAGGTGGCCATACTGAGTCCTAAGGATAAGCTCGAGTGCCCAAAAGGTGGTGCTGAGGAAATATATGGTGTTCTCTATCAAACATTCATTTCTAATTAAACATGATTGTATATCACCATCTTGATTTTTGGTCATTGTAAATTTTCATTTCATTTTAAATAAAGTCATGTTTTTCAGAAAATGAAACTCTTATCACCAAATTCATACAGTTTTGAAGCTCGTAAAGGCACGATGACAAGCTAGCATCAAACACTTGTCAACCGCACTCTGGTCCTCCTCATCGCCTATCTCCCTCCCTCTATGTATCCCTGAAATTATGAATGAAAGGCTTAACTATATAGCAACAAGTGTCCAGGACAGTGGCTTTTCATGTGATTTCAAACAAAGTCTTGGCTTTTAGAATATTAAAGCCTTTTTAAACCCACTGACTGGCGGCCGCTCAAGTTAGTTCTAAGCAGCTTAACATTGCGCATCGAAATAAATGCTAAATGCTTAAATGGTTGTTAATATCGACATGCTACACATCGTTAGCTTGGTTGGATTCCATGAGTACCAAATATAATCCATACAGATGTGTCCATTCCTCAATTATACATATACGTTGCTTTAGTCCAGACGTACTTAAAGTCCATCGCTAACTTTGTTCATCAAATGGAGCACAGTCCTTCCAACATAAACAATATTTTCACGTCTTCCTGCACAGTGTTGTTGGGCATACTTGTTTTTGTTATCTTGCTGGCAAAAGAAAAAAAGTGTCCCCCAGCTTCTCTGTGTATTTTTTCACCCTGAGACAGCCCTGGAGTACAACACGCACTCCCAGTTTGGAAGGCTAATGGGCTTTGTCCTCTATCATCTAACTCTGAGGGCACAACACAACAAACTTTTAAGGCCTTTGTCTCAAATCATGCATCAGTGACAGTCCTTATGTGATGTCACATCTTTTGCTTAATATGAGGAGTACAAACACTAAACTGACATTATTAGAAAGACTCCTTTTCCCCAACACTATATAGAACTCAAATGTGTTTCAGGTTTAACATGACTGAGATGATAGAGCATGTCACGTATTAGATGGAGGGATAGAGAGAAAGAGAAATGGATGAAAGATGGGAGCTGTTGAGGGAGACGGGTGAAAGTAAAGGGAGGGGTGGAGTGTGTGCCACACAAAAAGACAGGCAGGAAGAAACAGGCAGATAGACGGGGGTGACACAAAGACAAACTCAACAGATAAATAGCCCGTAGCAATATCTGTCAGACCTCAGCTGCTTCCCATCTGCCGATGTTCTTCCTTTCATCTACAAAGACACACATCTAACAACATTATGTGAGCAGTTTGTGTATGTTGGTGCACATACGCTTGTGTTTTTATTTGTTTACGTGTAATGGCACCATTATTTGCCCATCCGGGGTGATTTTTGGCAGCAGGTGCTTTGGTGTGTGTTTCTGTCCGTGCTTGTGTTTGTGTGTGAAGTGAGTGGAGGCTTAGGTGGAGCAGGGTAATTGTAATTCCAGCAGCATGCTCTGAAGGCCTGGTAATTGTTACAGAGATGATACTGATCAGGGCGCCATTTCAGTAAGCAATTTTCCCCTTGTTTTGGCTCCAAATAGAGAATGACAGAGAGGTTGCGTAGGAGGAATTAGGTTTTCATTTTGAGTGTGTGTGTGTGTGTGTGTGTGTGTGTGTGCACCTGAATGGTTGAGTATTTAGTATAGACTTTGTTGTCAACATATGTTCATGTTTGTCTGTGCATGTATAAACTTCTTTATGTTTACGTGAGTGCCTGTTGGAGCCTCCTCCAGAGCTGCCACGGTCATGAAGTTCCTAGAAAAGTTGTGAATTTTGAAAAACTGTTTTTCAGACCTGGAAATGGTTTGGCATTATATTTATTTATTGTTCAAAATATGCTCTTAAAAATCCTAAAACACGTTGTGCTAAGTACATTTCTTGTATCACTAATTTAAAATCTAGACCTGCTAAAATCTAGACTTTCACATTGAGATTTGAGACTCATAAGAAACTGAATATTTACTGTTAGTACGTTCTATGATGCTAGTGACAGTTAAAATCATATAGCTATTTGATGGACTTAAAAGGTATCATGATTCAGACGTCTATACATGTATAGATGTATGGATAAGCAATGTCCGGCCACTGTGTTGGCAAGACTGAAGGGACATGATCAGCCCTAATTTATTAAAACATTGCTTCCACTCAGGTTAAGTCAAGGCCGCAAAATCATTATAAGACATGTCCATAAAAGAAATGTTTGTTTAGCAAGAAATAAATGTATACAGATTGGTCAAAATTACAATGCAAACAGATGTGAAATGCATTGACATCTACAGGATCTCCTGTTGTCTATCCCTTAAGAAGGGGTGCAGCGTTGACATTTTGCAAAGTATCCATAAGTGCTGGTCTGGTCTATTGGCATATGGAGCTAGTTGGTAACAGGAATGTCTAATGAGTGAGTAAAGTTAGTGCTAGCAGTTTGCTTAATGCCTGCAAGCGTTTGTTTAATAATGTATGACCAGTGGTGTAGTGGTAGTTCATAAAGTGGGGGTACTGCTAGGTAGATGGGCAGGTTACCGAGGAGAAAGTGGGTTTACTCTCCTATATACTGCAGTGGCTTTTTGGCTGATAGGTGTATGTAGTGTAAATGGACAGAAACAGAAATAAGTATACCCCATATGCCTGTGTATACACTCCACTACACCACAGTGTATGGCTTTATCATTAAATAGGCCTTCCCATTTCAAACTACCTAAATAAAATCATGGAAATGGGGTTGAATATTATGGAAAAGTTAGTGTGGAAACCCTGCCCCTCTTTTATTTGTACCTATCTTGTGTGTATTTCCCATCTTTCCACAATGTGTGTATTTGTGTTGCCATCCTCAGGTATGATTTGGTCAGAGTGTAAGGAGATCTGGACCGACGGGCCGCGAGAGTACATCATGCACTTGTGGAACGTTCTGGACTTTGGCATGCTGTCCATCTTCGTGGCTTCATTCACGGCACGCTTCATGGCGTTCCTCAAGGCGTCCAAAGCCCAGCAGTACGTGGACATGCACGTTCCAGACGAAGACCTCAGTAACGCCTCACTGCCTGATGAAATCGCCTACTTCACATTCGGTAAGCATTTAGCAGTGTTCACACTGATGCTTAAAAAGTCTTTAAACGCACTAAAAAAGAAGGCCTTAATTGGTTTTGACGGGTCTTAAATCAATCTTTAGGAATAGGAAGTAGGAATTTATAGATTGTTTTTTCTGACGTTGCATTTAAAATCTGATGGTAACTAGTTACATCTATTTTTTAAAGTAATTAACTGAAGGCCTCTCACATTAATGTCAGGTAGATCAGAACAGTGAAACCAGCAAAACTTTCGTCTCCAGCCAGCCATCAGCGTTTACATAGGTTACTTAATGGCTTTGCAATCTTTGCAATAAGCTTCTGCCCCCAGGGACGAATTTTCGCGGAAAAAAATCTGCTTTACAGCAGGAAATGCGTCATGTATTGCCAAACAGGTCGGTCAGCCAATCAGGGACTGGAGCTGGTCCTTATGAGGAGTTGGGCATGAGATAGTTGAGTCA